GGGTGGGACGATGATTTCGTAATCTTCTGATTCTTAATTAATGGGGCTTCATTTTTTTTGGGCAAAAACAAAAATGGTCACCTATTATGACCCTAGACACAAATAACGGTTAATCCAGGGTTCCTGTTGTACAGGAAAATTATGGAAAATTTCCAACATTTGCCACCAATTATTATCAAAAGATATCACCCTAGAAATAATAATAGTGAAGATTTATCACCATCGTGCAAAGTGGATACATAAAAAATCATGTTTTTATGATTTCAATTATTATGGGTACATTTGTGGATAATTAGCCATTAGTAATATGGGGTATTTTTCTTTTGAAGGAAAAAAAAACGATAACCCATATAATAGAGTGCGTATACCGTGCAACCGGTATAAGGTGAGCACCGTATACCGGGACGGTTTTTCTTTTTTTTTTCCTTTTGTTTTTAAAAAATGGTAATAACTTTTTTATTTGTGATCTGATTTTTATAAAATTTATATCAACATTTTTTATTTTTCATGATCTTTCAAATGAGACCAATATTGCCTATGTAATTTTAACATATTAACATTTGTGTGTAAAATATGTAACTTTAAGTGTTAAAATATGTAACTCTTCAGTCAAGTCAAATGCAACTCGTGTGTATAAATATGTATCTCTACGTGTAACAATATGTAACTTTACGTAAAAAAATATGTAACTCGCATTCAGACAGGTCACATGCAACTCGTGTGTATAAATATGTAACTCGCGTGTATAAATATGTAACTTTACGTGTAAAAATATGTAACTTTACGTGTAAATACATGTAAGTCGCGTTCAAGCATGTCAAATGCAACTCGTGTTTATATATATGTAACTCGCTTTTAAAAAGATGTAACTTGCTTATAAAAAGATGTAACTTGCTTATAAAAAGATGTAACTTGCTTATAAAAAGATGTAACTCGCTCATAAAAAGATGTAACTCAATGTATTATCAAATGTAAATGAGGTCACTGATCCACTACCAAACAGATTCGATCTTCTATTTCACAAACCTATCATCTCCCAAACAGATTCGATTTTTCTTATAATCCAATACTCATTAATATAATAGTTCGATAATTTCTTAAAATTACATACACAATATTGGTCTCATTTGAAAGATCATGAAAAATAAAAAATGTTGATATAAATTTTATAAAAATCGGATCAAAAATAAAAAAGTTATTATCATTTTTAACAACAAAAGCAAAAACGAAAAAAAAAATCTGATCCTACGTCGTTTTTGCAACCGGACGCACCATCCTCATGGTGCGCCGGTTGCACCATATAATTTGCGCATATAATAGGTTATTGTTGAATATGATAAGGTTGGATTCTATCTAAGTGGAGGTGTAAAATAGGCTATTATTGAAAGGGATTAAAAATGGTAAGAGCGTCTTTAATGAGGCTATCAACTATTACAAGTGCATTGACATTCAATGCAGATGAAATTGAGACGATGTGAAATTAATCCCTACAATGTAGATTTGTATCTTAAATGTGATGTTGAGTTCAAACTTATCTTACAATTCTATTAGTGTATCAAACATTGTGACTAGCCATTCAGTTTCAATTGGTAGCACTACCACTAAAACCTTCTTGGAATTATACCTCGCAATTATAGTCTTGAAAATGTCTTCAGGAAGGACTTTAATCATTCACATTACTACTCAAACCGAATAAATTTATATCACAATTCATTTTTTATAACAAATAAGTTGCAAATAGTAGTCTATTTAAAGATACAAAGTCTGTATACATGACATGACTTTTCTTCAATATGCATAAACATGGTCACTGTGTGTTTCAAATTAGTCATACACTCTTCTGGTTTAACTATTTGGGGAATGATCAGTAAATGAAAACTTAGAGGCGCCTCTTCCACCACCACCAGACATTTGGACTTGCTTCCCGTAGTAAAAGTCAATAGAAGATTGTGAAAAAACTAAAAGTCTATATTTATGAATGAATAAATGAAACGCACGGTCGCATTAGAGAAAGAATTTCAATATAGTAGTCTATTAGGCCGAGTCGGTAAAATATATGGTACAATCTCATGTACCATGAGCATGATACAGCCAGCATGTTTGTAATTTGATTCAACTTTCAGGTTATTAGTTAGGTTAGTTATGGTGTTCCATCCCCCAATTTTTTCGCCACACGCATGCACTCTTCGGCCTCCCTGCGTTGAATCGTTTTTAACTCTTTGTTTTCGTTTCTTTTTTATTCTTTTTTCTTTATTGTTTGCTCTCTTTTTTTATGGTTTGTTCTCGTTTCTTTTTTTGTTTTTTGCTTTAACAACCTTTCATTTTAATTTTATACTCAATTGTTATGAACATTATAATATTAAAAAATATACAAAATATTATTAAATGTGCCAGTTTATTTTTTTTCTTTATCCAATAAAACTTCTAACTTAAATATTTTAACATATGTATTATAAAATATTTTAGATATTAATTTTTTATTTTTCTATTTTTAATTTATGATGAACATTTATTAGTTTATTAAATATTGTGTGTTAATTACTAACATGAGTGTTGTGTTATACTAAACTGTGTAGTGTAAAATAAATATGGATGAGTAAACATTATAAAAGAATCCGGTTGTATTTGTAATTCGAGAACAAAAGACTATAAATTAGTTTTAATATAAAATTACTATATTTTTCATTACTATATTTGTCATTATATGTGCACAAATGAACATTTGAACACATTAGAGAATTTAAACGAGCTTTTGAATTTTTCGATACTCATTTTGTAAGTTACGTATGTTCATCTGGTACTGGTTTTATGCTCATTTTAAAATATCATATCAATGCATATTTCGAATTCAAAAGTAACATATTAGATTTGCATAGGAGTTAGATTATAGACATGGGAGTAGAGATCATGATACTCAATTGCATGTTTCGGATACTCGGTAGAGGAGGTTTGATGTTCAATGAAAATGTCTTGATGCTCAACTAACAAAGCTTATTATTTTAATATCATTGCTCATTTGATAAGTTATGTGTGCTCATTTGGTACTGACGGCATGCTCATTTTAAAATGTTACAACAATGCATATTTCAAAAGTATCATATTACATTAAATTTAAGTTGGAGTTGATTATAGATACGGGAGCAAATACCATGATACTCAATTGTATGTTTCTAATACTCAATAGAGGAGGTTTGATACTCAATTAAAACATTTTGATGCTAACCTAAAGAAACTTAGCTTTTCATATAAATGCTCATTTTGTAAGTTATGTATGATCAATTGGTATTGATGTTGTGCTCATTTTTAAAATGTCATGTCAATGCATATCTCAAAAGTACCATATTACACTAGATTCGCATATTGAAGTTCAAAGGAGTTGATTATGAATATAATTTAAAAAGTTTTTTATAAAAGAAAAAATAAGAAAAGATGTGAATTAGAAGATATGAAGCAGAGATCACGATGATCACTGTTAGTATTCTAATGCTCAACATAATATGTCTGATACTCACTGAAAGTGAATTAATGCTCATTTAGCAATAGACGTGAATTTTGATTAAATTACAAAAATCCCACCAGTGGTACGGTGGGCACCTTATAGCCGAATGTACTGTATAGGCTTCCCGCCTAGTCAGCTCACATCCTCGTTAATAGCCTATTTGAGTAGTGATGTGTCCACATATAAATATCTACTATTTACATTCCTATTGGAGATGCTCTAAGAGTTACGAGTGTTTCATTCGAATATGTGCATCAGTGTGGGATGATTGTGGGAAATGTCTTTTGAGGGTGTAGTGCTTCGTTTGAAAATTAGTGTTGGAGTATCATTTTTTTTATAAATTTAAGTAGATACTCCCTACATCCCAAATTTCTCATTTTTGTTTTTTGGGAAAATAAATAACACTCCTAAATGACCGTTTAATTATTAAATATTACATAGTAAAAACAATACTCTAATAATTTATAAGATCACAATTACCACCAATGACATCATTATATTATAAATTCATTAAACCTATTTTTCAAAATATACTCGAGTTACCTTATTCAATTATTGTCTAATTAAACATGTCATTTTGCTATAGGAATCTTAAGGCATGATGGAGATAGTATCATTTTTATTGTACTAAATAGATTATGTATTTGAAAACTATTGTAACTTAGTTTTTACTATTCCTCATCATTAGTTCCGATTGAATGATATATTAATGTTTAAATTAATGATATAGGATGATAGACTATTATTTAATTGTTATTGAAAACACTTTTCTAGATCTAAATTTGTTTTTCTCAGTGATGGAGTATATGGTCCAGGAACCCCCGACCCATAGACTCCCACTACTGTAGGAAAGGCCCAACAGGCTCAGGAAGCATGGCAGACCCAAATTACAGCGCCCCAAGTGCCAAGCAGCTCACGACGAGCACTGGGGTGCCTTCGGCCCCCTGGCCGAAGGCTCATGAGCTAACAGTACAGCTTCTTTAAAGCCCTCAAAGTGTCTGGGAGGAAGTGGCGAAAAAAGGAGCCCTCGGTACCTAGAGCCCTCAGTATTTGGAGGCCCCCGGTACGAAGAGCCTTCGGCCAATCACCTACGGCCGAAGGCATCTCCTTGACAGAATATCCCACCCACATGCACCGGATCAACGTACCAAGTACAAACGTCACATCCAACCACCGCATTTAATGCGGCCACACGCGAATGCCAATGCCACCCCACTGAGGTGACCCCTCGACCACCAGAATGATGACACGTGTCCCTATCTGGCATTTATTACCACTATAAATAATAACCCTTTTCCCCATTTGTAATCCATGTTCAATACACTCAACGCATTCTCAGCAATATATATTCTTTTTTTTTTTTGCAAAGGGTAAACTAGGACACTTTGTTTGAGAAAAAGAGAGTTGAGACATCAAATTACTTTTTAAATAGAATAATAAAGACGCACAAATTAAACAAGATTGTCTAGACAAAAAGAGACATAAATGCTTATGTGCTCAGGCCTGCCTATTCTTCTTCTTGGGGCCGGATTTGACAACCTTAAGGCTTCTGTTAACGGCACTCAACCTTGCCAGAACTGCCTTCTTCAAGTCCGGTCTGTAATAGTTATCAGCAACCTGATTGGTGACAGCCTTGGCCATGCGGTGAAATTCCTTCTTCATGACAGATTTGTTTAGCAAATTAGCAGGTTTGTTCTGCTTCTTGGTCTTGGTTGTGGCCAGGAGAACAGTTTGATCTTTCCCCCCTTGAATTGTCACAGTTTTCTTGTTTGCTAACCCAGAGTGCTTGTAAGAGTGAAGATTGTAGAGATTGTTTGGTTCCTTGCTGAAGACAACGCCAGCGGTGCCATTACCGAACTCCTTGACCAAGAAACAATTGTTCTTCTTTACAATCTCCCACACCAGCTGCCCGGGAACTGCCGCCATTACGATATAGAATGGAAACCTGTTGGGGCTTTGCTCAGATGTTGCTGAGGAAGTAGGTCTTCACCCTCTCAGCAATATATATTATCTCTCTTACTTTTGCTCTCACTTCTCTCTGGTTATTCCCCGCAGTAACCCCTCGGATAGATACCCCCGGGTACACTTATCCATCACTTGGTGCTCTCATTGAGAGGTCGAACAATCAAGTAAGAAACCCTCCCCTTCAGCTAAAAACACCTACTAAAATGGGAAGAACCACCCATGCTCAGTCCAAGAACCTTGAGGACAACAACCTGGCCCTCGGTGAAGTCAACGCCCCCGGAGCCTCTAACAAGGCTCTCGAGGGAGGGGTCATCACTGAGTTGGAATAGGCTGTTGTTGACCTGCGCCTTCAGCTCCAACAAAACGCTCCTGATGTCCGCCTCGGCATCGAAACCCGAAGGAGGGACCGGAGCGAGAATCAAGTGAGCCCTCCGGTTCTCACTATCGACGTACAGTCGGCATTCTCTGCCTTCATCCAGACACTCACTCAAAACCCAAGTGCCTTCGGCACTCTGGTGCCCCTCCAACCGCAAATCGGAGAGAACGCTATTCTTCTCCCACGGCCAACCCCCTTCGTGAACCCTACCCCTCTGGTGGGGAACGACGAAGGGGTCGTGGCTCAAGACACCGCCTCCCAGGAGGTTCAATCCCGGGATCAGCGTGGTAAAGAAGGGCCCCGGACCTCCGCCCTCGAGAGGCTCGGAGGGGCGCAAGACCGTCGAGGGGTCCAAGACCGCCTCGGGGGGGAAGGCGTTCTAAAGACCTCAGGAAAGTGGCGGATCCGTCTCTAGGGCAAACGAAAGACGTTCTCCTCAGGACAAAGGCAAGGCACCACTTCATGTCGATGACGCGAGGCATCAAATCAATCAGGCCCACTTGGCCCGTGTTCGTTCACAGGGGGGCGGAGGCCCTCCCGAAGGATCACAGGGACGAAATCATTGCGGCCCTCCAGCGCCGACTTTATGAGATGGAGGCCCATCGGGCACATACCACCGTCACCACCCCCCATGCGGATCCCAAATATGAGGCCATGTTGGCCAAAATGGAGGAAATGCAAAAGAAAATAGTCGAAGGCTCCGGCGAACCTGTCATCCAACTCCGGACTAGGACGCCATTTACCCCAAGGGTATTGGCGGCCCGAATTCCGGAAAAATACCAGGGGCAGCCCATCAGGCCCTATGAGGGAAAGACGGACCCTCAGGAACATTACAGCCGCTACCAAAACAGCATGATGATGGTGGGGGCATCGGACGAATATTTGTGTCGTTGGTTCCTTTCCACCTTAGAGGGACCAGCGTACAAATGGTTCAACCGATTGCCCGAAGGCTGCATTGATTCATGGCAAGAACTCTCCCAATGCTTCCTGACGCAGTTTGCAGGGAGGCGCCGGTCAAGGAAACACTTCTCCCACTTACTAACAGTAAGGCAAAGGAAGGAGGAGACCCTTCAGGACTTCTTGGAGCGCTGGAGGACGGAGGCGGACAAAGTTGATGGCGCTGACGATGGGACCCTCCCGGCCCTCCTTCAAATAGTCCTTCGCCCCGGGAACTTTTCAAGGAGCCTCATCATCGAACCTCCCCGTGATTACATAAGGGCCCTACAGCGAGGGGACCGGTACGCCGAGGCCGAGGAGGTGGAAAATTGCCATCACAACCCCGATCAGCAACGCCCTCGGCCAGATGACAAGGGTAACCGGGGGCCGGGGGCTAACCATAATAAATCCAAGGTTTCGGCACCCCCCAGTGATCGCCCCCGGCACGACCAAGCCAAGCTCGAGGGAGGTTATAAGGGAAACCCGAAGGCTTGGGCCCAGCCAATTATTTTGGAGCACCCTCGGACTCCCTTGACGCACCGCGTCAGTGTCATCCTAGACTTCGCCGAGGAGAGGGGCCTTGTGGAGCGCGACTCTCGCGCACCCCTGGAGGTATACACCATCAACCCCAATTATCCTTATTGTCGATTCCACCGCAACCAAGGACACAGCACCGACGACTGCCATCAGCTGAAGACGGCCATAGAGAGATTGATACAGGCAGCCCACCTGTCCCAATTCATCAGGGGGGGCCCCGCCTCAGGGGACCCCTCACTACCAGGGGCCCCCTAAGAAAGCAAACGCTTGGGTCAACCCAAACACCATCCCCCTCGGCGACCCGAAGGGTAAGAAAAGGGAGATTGGAAACCTCGATGAGGAGGAGGAGTACAGCCAGTACCAGGAGAAAAAGCGCCACATCCATATGATCACTAGAGGCAACACCGGAGGGGATTCCACCAGCTAGCGGAAGAAGTGGGCTCAATCGCTATACGTGGGGGAAGTCACTCATATGCCCCCTGTAAAGCGGCTGAGGGAGGAACCCATCACCTTCACCAACGCCGATCTCCCCCCGGCTTCCTCTCCGCACAGGGATGCTCTCGTCATCCGTACGAACATCAATGACACCATCATCCACCGAACTTACATTGACACGGGCAGCTCTGTCAATGTAATGTACCTCAGCACATTCAGAGAGCTGCATCTGGAGAGGGGGTCCCTTCGGCCCATCAAGACCCCTCTCGCCGGCTTCACCGGAGACACCATTGATTCCGAGGGGGTCATTACCCTCCCGGTACTATTCGGCGACGGGCTCCATAGAGCCAAGCTCGAAGTGGAGTTCGTCGTTGTCAACATCGACTGTGCCCACAACATCATCCTCGGCAGACCAGCCCTCGAGGACCTCGAGACCATGATCTCCATGAGGCATCTGTGCCTCAAATTCCCCGCCGAAGCAGGCATCGAGTACTCAAGGGGGAATCAAAAACTTGCTCGCGCTTGCTACCTTCAAGTGATGAAGAAGGTTAGTAAGATCGAGTTCCGTGTTGACACCATCATCGAATCATGGAGGAAGAAGAGAAGAGGCCGAGGGCTGAGCCCACCGAGGAGGTAGAAGACTTCGCACTCGATCCGGCCAAGCCAAGCTCCCCGAAGACCTGAAAACCGGCATAACTGAAGCCCTCCGTGCCTACTCCATTGTTTTTGTATGGGGGGCGGAGGATATGCCCGGAATCAGCCGAGGGGTCATCACCCACCGCCTTTCGGTGGACCCTTCGGTCAAGCCTGTACAACAACGAAGAAGACCCCTCTCGGCTGAGAGAAAGGATTTTGTGAAGAAGGAGGTCGCCATGCTCCTCTCCATCAAGCACATCAAGGAGGTGAAATACCCCTCATGGCTAGCTAACGTAGTCCTCGCACAAAAGTCACCCACCTTCCGCATGTGCGTAGACTACACTGATTTAAACAGGGCGTGCCCCATGGACCCCTTCCCTTGCCTAATATTGATCAACTGGTGGATGAGACCGTGGGGTGCGAGATCATGTCCTTCCTCGATGCCTTCCGAGGGTATCACCAAATTTTCATGAACGAGGAAGACGTCGAAAAACAACCTTCATGACTCCCGAGGGCATATTCTGCTACCTTGTGATGGCCTTCGACCTAAAGAACTCAGGCGCCACTTACACTCGGATGGTGGCCAGAGTCTTTCAGGCCGTCCTAGGGTGCACCATGGAGGCCTATGTCGATGACATGATTGTCAAAAGCAAACAGTCATCAAGACATGATGACGACCTCCGGGAGATCTTCGCCATCATGCAAAAGTTCAACCTTCGGCTAAACCCGAAGAAATGCACCTTCGGCGTACAAGGAGGCAAATTCTTAGGCTACATGGTGAGCCGGAGGGGGTATCGAGGCCAACCCCGAGAAAATCCAGGTCATCATCAACATGGAGCCCCCACATAACGTGAAGGAGGTCCAACGGTTGACGGGCCGCCTGGTAGCCCTCAACCGCTTCCTATCCAAATCGGCGGAGAAATCTTTACACTTCTTCCAGATCATGAGGAAGACCGCCAACTTCCAATGGACTTCAGAATGCCAGGAGGCTTCAACGAACTAAAACAGTGTTTATCTTCACCCCCTGTGCTCTCCAAACCCAAGGTAGGGGAGACCCTGTACCTTTACCTTGGTGTTAGCCCAGCAGCCATCAGCTCAGTACTCATCCGGGAAGAAGATGACGTCCAACATGTCATCTTCTATATTAGCAAGACCCTCAGGAAAGCGGAACTCCGGTATTCCCCTGTGGAGAAGACAGTGTTAGCTATTGTTTGGACTGTGAAGAAGCTTGGCCATTACTTTCAGGCCCATCCAGTCCAGGTCCTTACGCATCAACCCCTTCGGTGCCCTGATGAGGAGTCCCACCAGCTCCTCCCGAATGGTAAAATGGGCTATCTTCCTCAGCCAATACAACATCGACATCCGTCCAAGGCCTGCCATAAAAGGCCAAGCCCTGGCAGACTTCGTGACGGAGTGCATGGCCAGATCAGCGGTGGATGAGGAGCCCTCAGCACCTTCGGACGAGTGGTGGACCCTTTATACCGATGGCTCCTCAGCCACCAAAGCATGCGGGGGAGGAGTAGTTCTCATTACTCCTGAAGGCTTCCGGGCCTACTATGCCATCCGCTTCTCCTTCAAGGTCTCCAACAACAAAGCAGAATATGAAGCCCTCCTTTGTGGCCTTCAGCTGGCAGCAAATATGAAGGCCAGAATGATCCACGTCAAGTGTGACTCCAAGCTTGTCGTAGGCTAAATCTCCGGGGAGTATGAGGCCAAGGAAGGGAGGATGAAACAATACAAGGAGGCGGCTAAAGAATTGCTCAAGGTATTTGAGGCACACTCTCTCACCCAGATACCGAGGGCTCAAAATTCTGAGGCCGATATTTTATCAAAACTCTCGGATGAATCTCCCGAGCACCTCTCCAAAATTGCAAGGATAGAAGAGCTCAGCCTCTCAAGCATACACGTCAGCCCTGTCATGCAAATACAACAAAGACCGAAGGACTGGATCTCAGATATCATTGCCTTCATCACCACAGGGCAACTGCCCGAGGATGAGGCCTGCGTCAAGCTAGCGAAATTGAGGGCCCCCAGCTACACCATCGAGGACGGAAGGCTCTACAAACGATCTTACAATGGTACGTTGCTCTGATGCCT